AGGAATAGGGAAATTGTCATCCCCCTGTAGTCAGCACTGGTGAGGCCACACCTCGAATATCGTGTTCAGTTTTGGGCCTCTCACTTTAGAAAGGACATCGAGGTGCTGGAGTGAGTCCAGTGGAGGGGAGCAAGGCTCATAAAAGGTCTGGAACACATGTTGTATGAGGAGCAGCTGAGGGAATTGGGTTTGTTTAGCCCTGACGGTTACCTCAAGGGTCACCTCATTGCTCTCTACAACTGCCTGACAGCGAGTTGTAGAGAGTTGGATGATGGTCTCTTCTGCCATTCCTGCAGTGAGAGGACTAGAGGGAATGGCCATAAGCTGAGACAGGGGTGATTCAGTTTAGATATTTGGATGCCTTCTTGATGTGAAGAGCTGTAAGTCTGTGGGTTCCTCTCCTTCTCAAGGACAGAGGATAGCTGCAGCGTTTTTATTAGGTGTCTGGATCTGATGCTGGAGAATATGGTTTAGGGGTTACAGCAGAGTGGCAGGTTAATGGTTGGACTCAATGATCTTAGAGCTCTCATCCAACCCTGATGATTATATAAGTCACTATAGCCTGTGATCTCTTCTGCAGTATTCAAACATTAAGGAAAAATAAAAGACAGATATTTTATTCTTCCTATGAAACTGCAATTTAGTAAACATAAGGAGTGAAGCATCTGACAAATTCTGTACAAATGCAATGTACAAACAAATAATTATTGTCACAGCTTTGTTTTTATCTCTATGCCAATTTTATCTGTATAATTACCTCAAGAATCTAGTATTTCTGTTACGATCATTTGTTCGTTTTGGTCAATCTTGTTTTCCTCTATCTAAACCTTTCATAAAAAAGCTAAGAGTGAAATCACTAAATACATAAAACTTGAGCACCCACCTCATTAAGGCTTGAGGGCACAGTGACATGAGGCGCCTGTGTCCCATTCAGTAGAACACAGTGCAAAGAGTCCCAAGCCAGCTGAGACTCTGCCAGTTACTCCCTGCAGCACAGATTACTGGCATTGCATTTATAAATAGCACAGGTCTGATTAGTCTAAAGTCAGCTTTATTGTTTACATACAGCAAGCTTGGATATCTCTGCACTGGAATTGTCACTGGCTTCCCTATGCTAGAGTAAGTACAGAGACAGGTAGTTTTTATTAGATCTTTGCAGTGTATTCTGTCTTTCATGAAGTCTGCAGATGTTTCTTATCTTATAGTTTTGCTAAGATTGGAAAATCCAACACCAACACATGTCATTAAGACTTTCTCCCCGCCCATGTGCTCTTCCTCAGGGGTCTTTGTTTCAATTTTAAACATGATCTGGAAGAAGCTTCTCAGGTGTCGCAGAAACTCAATTCTGAGGGAAAGAAAACAACACAGTTTAAGAAACAAAACAGAAAGCCCATTTGCAGTATATATTAACACTGATTCCAGCAGTAAGCAATAAGCACAGTGAATGAAACATGAAAATATTACTTAGTACAGAGAAACAAGCCTACAGGCTCCAAACATTGTTCTCAGTTGTGTTGTAGAAGTGGTTAGTGACCCCTACTGAAACCACTGCACTCCCTGTATGAACAGAGAGGAATGTCTGGTAACATAGCAAGACAAAATGGTGAGGAAAGAAGAAAGAAAGGAGAGAAATGTAGCCAGGCAAAGTCATTTAGCCATGATGCTGACTCTCCATCAGGGCTATATGAACCCCATACAAACCTGTGATACTGCTTTCCCCCTCCCAATCTTTACAGCAGAAATAAAAGATAAACAGGGATAGCCAAAAGGCTGGGTGCACACTTTAATATGAGAGACATCAGATCCTAAAGTATGTGTTTGATTTGGATTACTAACTTGTCCACTTCATAGTTAAATCTTCTCATTTTCAGAAAAACCCCCAATCCCTAAATAATTTTCCTTTCATAATTTTAGAAATAAAGGCATGAAAAAAACTAAATAGACACAGTGCTCCTAAACACACGCTGACTGGAGGGCAAGTGACAGGAAAAACTATAAAAAAAGAACAAAACAAAACCAGCCAAGAAAACATTTCTACTGCCTTCTTCAAAACAGGAAGCAAACAACTATACCACAAGGCTACAAATACAAAATTTGTAAGTGCTCCTGACAGAAGTCTGGTCTCTTGCAGTCACAGCCACAAGCAAGTCTGCAGTCTTGAACTAAGGTTTAATCTTCTCCAGCAATTCGTATATGCCCTTCTTAGATTAAGTTTAACCTATAAAGAAAGGGAATGTGGACATCCAGTTCACACATTTCCTTGTCTGGCAGCCTGAAAAAAGCCTCTGCTCTGCATGCTGAAAGCATAATCATAATCACAACCTAATCATGCATACATCATTACAACAAATCTAGAGAAAGTACTCACAAAATGCTAAGTGTGAGACCAAGAGCATAGGACTGTCCCCACTGTGACATCATGAGGCCTCTGAAAGCCTCCTGGCAGCTCCTATTCACAGAAATTGTGAATAAACACAATGAAAGTTGCGGGAGCAAAAATTGCCTTATCCACTTAAGTTGGGCATGCTGCTGCTCCTGCACTCAAGTACACACATGGGAAGAGGAGGGAAACAGCAGGAGGCAGGCAAAGAGAAGCTGCTTTACATATACTGGTCTGTGCTCAGGATGATCTGACTCAAAGAGGTATCTCTGGGGCAGTCTGCTGCATACCCCTGAAGGGTGAATGTGGGTATGTGGCTCCCAATGCTATATAGACCTTTCTACTGCAGCGTCCAGGGTGGTAACTCACACAGTCACCAGGTCTCTCATCTCTTGAGTGGATTAACAGTTGAAAGAGAGAACTAAAAATCACATTTTCTTCCATGCCTGTCCAACAGCAAGATTTCTGGTTACAGCTATACTAGGCAAATGGCATATGCTGGCACAAATGCCCCACGCTGGCACAAATGCCCCAGTGACACTAACAGGCAACAAGCTCTGTACTAGCCTTCTCCTTCAGCTGGGTCCCCTCCCAGGGCTCTAGCACTGTGACAAGAAAGTAGCCAAGCCCAGAACCGCAGGAGTGGCATGCTGAACTGCAAGGACTACAGAATACACTGTACAAATGCCAGAGGCAATGTGGAGCCAGTGGCTCAGGGAACTCTGCAACATGCTGGTGGGATCAGTTCAGCCTGTAACTTTCTGCACTTCTGTCTATACCATGCATCTCTGCCTTCTCTCCCTTTTGAATAAAGGTAGAGTGAGAAAATGAGTATCAGCCCCCATGTTCATGGGAAAGGCTCACTGGAGTGAGGGTGAAGGGGAGGGGCTGCCTGGGGACATCAGGGATGAATCTGGAAGCAGGAGAAGGCCAACTTTGTCTTACAGCAATAAGTGGTAAGGAAATAGGAGAGAAGGGGGGGAAGGTAGGAGTACGTGACAGAAGCACAGTAGAATGCTGGTTTGTATAACTCTGAGGTTGATCTGGGTCAGGTGTGGGCAGGTTTGCACCTCAAATAATAGTGCAGGCTGCACCAAACACACAGTCACAGGGTGGAGGACTGAGGGGGCAGGGTGGTGAAAGGTGCAAAGAAGGTTAATTTTGTTGAAAATTTACGCTGTGTGTTCAGGCAAGAACAAGGCAGAGCTGAACAGTGCTCCTTAGGTCCAGGGACAGCTACATGAGCCACACTGAAAGTTTTCTTCAGGGCCAGCCGCTTTAGAATAGAAAATCAACACTGTACTACCAAAACACAAAATAATACCATCACAAAAAAATAGTAAGAAAAAAAAGAGTTAAAGATCCATTTATCTAAGTGCTGCCTCTTCCCCAAAGCCTCTTAAGGAGCACCAAATGGTACACACTGACTTCACATGTCACGGCAAAGCAACAAACTTATAGACCGCTGCAAGAGAAGATTTGTCCACCAGCACTTGGTTGCACTGCCTCGGCATCCACTCAGGGCTCTGCCTGGCAGCACTGGCAGTCCCAGCACTGCTCTCCTAAGTCCTGCCAGAGACCCTCCAAAGAAGGAGACAGGCTGAGGGGCTGGGCATGGGCACCCCGGGCAGGGGAACAACTGGAAGTGTCAGCCCAGCTGGGCAAAGGCACCCTGCCCCCGCTGCTTGAATCCCTAAGCCCTTGCAAAGCCAAGGGGCAGGGCATTCAGGCTTTCCTGTTGCTGTCCTTCACGTACCCCTGGCTCATGCCAATCCACCTGCATGCAGACAGGGCTGTCCTGCCAGACTTATCTCTGCGAGTTAGTGGCACAGCCAGCACCCTGCATTTGATGCTAAGCTCAGCTTGACAGAGAGGTGCTTACTTCTGTGACACCTGGATCATATAAAAGGGGTAATGCAGATGGCCACTGGCCAAGTGGTCTTTCTGGGACTGGAGCCCAGTGCCACTCAGGACAGCCCTGCTCATAGTGTTGCCTGCCCTTCTGCTCCTCATTATTAACCAGGGCAAAGGACATCTCCCATGAAAATATACAAATCTGTGACAAATTTCCTCACTCTGATGGACATATTCCAAAGCACCATGTCCCCCACATAGTGCTCACATCAGGCAGCTCAACTGTCACATTCATGCTACATTATGCAAGACAGGGGAGCCAATCTAGCATAACATGGCTTTTAAGTAGCTTCAGATTCTGCAGGGTGAAAGTTAAATGCAGAGATGTCACAGCCCTAAGAAAGAAAAGAAGGGACGATGACATGGAACATGACACTACTGCAATTTACTTCATAAGCTTGTGCATCTGATGAGTTGCTCAGAAGCCAAATTTACCTGCCCTTTATAAGCAGCCTTAGTGAGGGCATGAGAGTGCTGCAGAAGAGCTGAATTCTCTCTGAATAGAGCCTCATAGGACTGACAAGTCACAGATTCTCACAGAATCACCGATTTTATGATCTGCTGTTACAGGATGTGTACTCCTGACCTTTTATTCATGCCTCACATACCTTGGAAGAAATGACAATTCCCCAATTTGAAATCAGTCTGCTTACAAAATATACTAGTGCATTTGCATGATTTTCACAGCACAACAAAAAACCACATGAAAAATAAAGAAGACTGAACAATGACAAGTGATTGTTTCACGTACTTAACTGTGCACTTCAAACACTGATATCTAATCTCTCTAAACCTTTCACATGGATACTTACTTCACAGGGGATTACTTCACCCCTATGCTACGGGACATTTCCCTGATTTCCCCTCAAAATCTGATGAATGTTGTTTCCAAGGTATCAGGGGTTCAGAATAGCAGTTAGGCAATTGCTAAGCTCTCATGTGATGGCACCACCATTCTTCAGTTATCACAGTACTGTACCTTTCACGTATACAGCACCGGTACCATGATAACCGAAAAAGGACAGTTCATAGTCTGACTATTTGATGCTATTGTCAGATAAACGAACCTCCCTTCATTTGATTAAAGAAAAACTGCTCAGTCTCTAGAAGTAACTGTGATCTAGTCAATCATTTGCAAGTCTGACAGAGTAAATTATATTTTTAATATTGGATGCTGTTCCCCTCTAACCAGTTTCTGCTAAAACTCAATCTGGGTTCACTGCTGTGAAAGATAATGAAAAGTATTTTTTATAAATACATCAACAATGAAAGGAGGGCCAAAGACAATCTCCATCAATTATTGGATGCAGAGGGGAACATGGTCACCAACGATGAGAAAAAGGCTGAGGGACTTCATACCTTCTATGCCTCAATCTTTAACAGTAATATCAGTTATCGTCAGGGCAACTGGTCCTCTTAGCTGGTAGACAAGGATCAGAATAGCCCCTGCAATCCAGGAGGAAGCAATTAGTGAGCTGCTATGCCACTTAAGACACTCACAAGTCTATAGGACTGGATGGGATTCACCCAGGGTACTGAGGGAACTGGTGGAAGAGCTTGCCAAGCTGCTCTCCATCACTTAGCACCAGTCCTGGTTAACTGGTGAGGTCCCAGATGACCGAAGGTTGGCCAATATCACACCCATATATAAGAAGGGTAAGAAGATGGATTGAGAGAACTGTCAGCCTGACTTTGGTGTCAGGAAAGGTTACGGAACAGATTATCTTAGCTGCAATCACACAGTACATACAGGACAACCAGGGAGGGGATCAAGCCTAGCCAGCATGTGTTTAGGAAAGACGGGTCCTGTTTGACACACCTGATCTCCTATGACCAGGTAACTTGCTTAGTGAATGAAGGAAAGGCTGTGGATATTGTGTACCTGGACTTCAGCAAAGGCTTTCATACTGTTTCCCATAGCATTCTCCTGGAACAGCTGGCAACCCACAGGTGCACTCTTCACTGGGTTAAAAATTGGCTGGATGACTGGGCCCAGAGAGTGGTAGTGAATGGAGCTAGTGTGAATGGAGTGGTGGTGAATCCAGTTAGCAGCTGGTCACTAGTGGTGTTTCCCCAGGGCTCAGTACTGGGCCCAGTTCTGTTCAATACCTCTGTCAATGATCTGATGAGAGGGTTGAGTGCACCCTCAGCAAGTTCACAGACAACACTAAGTTGGGCAGAAGTGTTGATTTCCTGGAGGGTAGGAAGGCTCTGCATAGGGATCTGGACAGGCTGGATCAATGGGCTGAGGCCAATGGTTGAGGTTCAACAAGACAAAGTGCCAGGTCCTACATTTCAGCCACAACAATCCACGCAGTGCTAAAGGCTGGGGAAAAAGTGGCTGAAAAATTCCCTCAGAGGATGAGGACCTGAGGGTGCTGGTTGACAGCAGCTAAACATGTGTAAATGGTGTGCCCAGGTAACCAAGAAAGCCAATGGCTTGTATCAAAAATAATGTGGCAGCACGAACAGGGAAGTGATTGCCTCCTTGTACCCAGCACTGGTGAGGCTCTTTGAATCTTATGTCCAGGTCTGGGCCCCTCACTAGAGGAAGGACATGAAGGTACTGGAAAGAGTCCAGAGAAGGGCAATGAAACTGATGAAGGGTCTGGAGAGTAAGTCATATGTAGAACAGCTGAGGGAGCTGAGGGTGTTTAGCATGGAAAAGAGGAGGCTCAGGGGAGACCTTATTCTCTTACAACTAGCTGAAAGGAGGTTGTAGCAGAATGAGAGCTGGTCACTTCTCCCAGGCAACCAGCAACAGGACTAGAGGAAATGGCCTCAAGCTGCACGAGGGGAGGTTCAGCTTAGACATCAAGAATTTTTTCACTGAAAGGGTTGTTAAGCATTGGAATGGACTGCCCAGAGAGATGGTGGAGTCACCATTCCTGGAGGTGTTCAAGAAGTGACTGGATGTGGCACTTAGTGCTATGATTTAGTTGATAAGGTAGTGCTCAGTCAAAGGTTGGACTCAATGATCTTGGAAGTCTTTTCCAACCTTGATGATTCTGTGAATCTGTAACCTGAGTGTACAACTAGCAGTGTAAGAAATTTAGTCTTTTTATCCTTTGAACAACTACCAGCTGCAGACAAAGCTTTAATAAAAACCGAGACTGAAGGACTAGACAGAAGTCTGCTGCCTGATAGGGGTAAAATTTTGAAGTAACACATAGTTTCATGAATTGAAGTCTTAAGCTGTTTCCTATGGACAATCACAGCTTTATTGTTTGGCTAGCCATTTGAAATACAACATTTGATGACACAGCTACAGAAAGATCACTAGGAAAACACAGTAATGTACACGAGGCAACAAAAAGCAAACTGATATACATAGACAATCCAGGTCAAGAACCAGCAATAAACCCCAACTCTGCAATTCTCAGAACTAGGAACAATATAGGACAATAAAGGAATCATCACCTAACACATAGAAATAAACTCTGGGTAACTTACATCACTTGTCTCCTTTGAAGTCAGGTACAAGCTGTACTATTCACAACCACAGGCAAAACGATCCATATATAAAACCACATGTGCAATAAAACTAGAGAATTAAAACAAGACAGGTAATGAAACTGAACAAAACAACTTACGTGTATGGAGACAGAGGTCCTAACAGGACTTTGGAAACATCCCGTTGTCCAAGGGTCATAAGCAGCAGAGCGAGGCCCTGATTCGTTGAATCTACACAGCCTCCCTGCAAACCAAAATGTTTTAATAATTAATCTCTGTACAAACCAGATGGGAGGAAAGTAATAAAGGAGAAAGATACACTTAAAAGGCTGAAATACCACTCCAAATTTCCAAGGACCAAGAAGATAAAAATCTAGATTTTGTAACAATGACAAGTTAATTTCACACAGCAGGTTGAGAAAGAAACAGAACTTGAACAAGACCCAGTAATGAAGTCACATCTCTCCTGATCTGTTTTAACATTACAGAATGTAAACGCTGAAGAATTCATTTGAGGTAAATTGAAAAGAGTTATTAATTATAGTTTATATGCATTTGAAGATACCATGAATGGTAGCACTTCATGATAACATAAAGTTACATTTGGACAAATAGTTCAGCATTAGCAGGTGCAAAACACCTAGTTAAAAGTTGTTTAACATTTACCCATGTAAGCCCTTGCTGCTACATTTTGTGGATTTACATTTGTAAAACGTTTCCACACATAACTAAAAATGTTGGGCCTTTATTGCTATGTGAAACAGCCATGCATAAAATTAAGTGAAACTACACATACTCCTGTATATATTTTGAATGTAGTAAGGCATATATGGATGGTAAATTGTTCTGTATGTGGAAGGTGTAGACTATGATGCATACATAAATTAGAACTGCAAGGCTAGAATTAGAAATCAGAATTGTTTACAAAGTTGGAGCATAAATTGAAAGGGATACTTTCAATCAAAACTGCTGTAGGGAGAATTTACCAACTACTAGTACGCAAACACATTGAAAATAGAAAAAATATCTGGCATAACATGATTTTGGACTGTCCTCATATTCATCCTGATCCACAGATACATGAAATCTGTGAAGTTTTCTGCTGGACCAGAACTAATGCTAAGTCTTCTCTGAACAGGCTCTTTGGAGAGAGAAAAACTAAAAAATCATCCCTTTAAAGCCAAATTCGTTAATGAGGTAGACTGACAGTTATCTTTGTGGACAACGAGAGTAACCTGTAATAACTTCAAGAGAAAACACCATCCAAAAGAAGCAAAGGAGGGTCAAAATAAATTTTGGACTACATAGATTAAGAAAGTCAGACAACAATGTGACCATCTCAGCACATCTACTCAATGAGAGGGCAAAAAGGAGAGCCGTTCAAAGGAGGGCTACTGAAGGTTTAATTTTCAAGATGGTCTTGCTTCTGCGTGACAAGCCTCAGCTCCATTCTTCCAAGAAAAAAAAAGTCTCTGCACTTCATGCAAGAGCCTATACACACAATGAAGGAAGTATCTTCATTACATTCACTACCATGACCCAGCTCCTAGCAACATGCTCTTACAGCAGCACTTGCTCTTTTAACTGTGTGAACCTGCCATACTCAAGTGAAGTCCATGTACTCAACCTAATGCCCTCTACAGGACTGATAAAAAGTTGTGAACAGGATACCTGCAGAATTTGCTGGTGCAGTCTAGAGCAACAGCTCTCACCAGCTGTATTTGCCAATCTGAAACACGTACAAGAAGCAGATGGGAGTTTGGTAAGGGGTATTCCTGACACTAGACTTTCTGTATTTGCAGTTATGTTAATAATTCAAAACGTTCCTTATCACTTGGATGAAAACTACATTTTCTGAGCTTATTTTTTTGTTTTTCTAAAGCTGAAAAAACATTACAAAAGATCTGCTTTTATGCTCAAATTTATACCAACACTTCAACCAGCACGGAGACAACCATGTCCTAAACATTCTAGGAAACACAGTGTCCAATCTAGGAAACATCATGTCCTAGCTGCTCACATAAGCTCTCTTGCTGCGGTGAGCCAGTCATCCCCACTATTATGCATTAGCAATGTGCTGCCCATTTGCAGTGCTGCATACCCTCTGCCCCCTTGGGCCACTCTACTGTAATCTCCTCAGGAATTCTCATTAGACCTTAACCTCGATTAAGGGCTCCTGGGCAGTTAAGCTCCTCTTGAGCTTATCAGAAACTCTGTTCTTGGGTAGTTCTGTTGCCTAATGAACTGCTGTTGTCTAATGGACAGCCTTGCAACATTATTTTTGTCTAAATCATAGCCTAGGTTGAACAATATTATTATTACTGCACCTTTTGAGGAAAATTTCAGTAACAACTGTCCCAGGCCATGGTGGAGACTGCAGAAAACTAAACCCAAACATCTCAGAACCATCTAAGAAGCAAGCTGAAGTGAGGCTCTTGGAGCAATCCTGGGCCACAGCAGGCTGTGCCAGCATCTCCCTCTCAGTGTTGGGTCCCTCAAAGCTTGCTAGCCCTCAAGTTTGTGATACTTGGAGGACAATCACTGAAAACTGCTGACAGGGCCTGGGCTGATACCCTCACTCCTTGAGGCTTAACCCTTCACCCACTGAGAAGTGCAAAGGCATCTGATGTATTTCACTGAACTCAAGGGAACTTTTAATAGGTACCTTTGAATATGCTTCTTTGTGTCTATGTGACTACATGTCTGAATTGATTTAAATATACTATAGCACATGTAGTATGAATGTTACCATCTTAGATTTACATTTCAGTTATCACTGTGCTTCTAGTAATCTTACTGAATAATTTTTAAATGTTAGTCACAGAATCACAGAATGGGTAAGGCTGGAAGGGACCACAGTGGGTCATCTGTTCCAACCTCCCTGCTCAAACAGATTCATCCTAGAGCACATGGCACAGGATTGTGTCCAGATGGTTCTTGAGTATCTCCAGTGAGGGAGAATCCACAATCCCTCTGGGCAATCTGTTCCAGTGCACAGTCACCTGCACAGTAATTCTTCCTCATATTCAGGTGGAAATTTCCTATGCATCAGTTTCTGCCCATTGCCTCTTGTCCTATTGCTCAGCAACACCATGCAGAGCCTGGCTCCATCTTCTTGCACCCTCCCTTAGATACCTAGAGATGCTGATGAGATCCCGTCTCTCATTCATCTCTTCTCGAGGCTCAACAGGCCCAGCTCCCTCAGCCTTCCCTTGTAAGAGAGATGTTCCAGGCCCTTAATCATCTTTCCTGCCCTCCGCTGGACCTGCTTCAGGCGCTCCA